TCCCAAAAAAAAAAAAAAAAAAAAAAGAGGCTGAATAATTTGAGAGGCAGAGGCTATAAACTTGATTTCTTCAGAATAATCTGCATCTAGTATGCCAGGGGTCACTACTAATTCTTTTAACGACATACTGCTTCTTCCTAAAATCAGTCCCACTGTGCTCTGTGGCAAAGGCTTATAAACTCTGGTAGGAAATGCCTGTGGATTATTTCAGGTGTTACTACCCTCCTGGAGGTGGGACTGAGAGCCTGCCCTGCACTACCTGGGGTTGTCCGGTAGAGACCTCTGACTGTCCGTGGCCTGCCAGAAGCCTCTGACTGGCTAGGTTGTCCCGTGTTCTCTGAGAGAACATCGAGAGTGCCCCTACTGTTTGATGGGGCCAGGGTTGGCCCCGTGTACTGTTTCCTGGGGGCCCTCGTGGCCTTCCATCTGTATCTGTTCGGGATCTACATTCACTAGCCCAATGCCTTCCTCTCCGGCATGTAGGACTCATCCCAGGAACCTGAGTAGGCAGTAGGATCGGGCCTTTTGGTTCTCTAGTCATATCTCTTTGATTGTTTTGGATATCGACAGTCACGTGCCATATGTCCTGGTCTGTTGCAATTAAAACAATTTTCTTTGATTTCTTTTGTGTTACTTCCTTTAATGCAGTTGCTAAGGTCATAACCTGAATTTGCGGTTCCCCAATGACTTGACAAAGTCTAATGAAATCAGCCACTGTCCCCTTTTTTGTGTGTGGAGCAATAGCTGTTTTGCAAAATACATTAGCATTTTCAAAGGCCAGTTGTTTCAACAAATTTGTCCTGCCTCCTCATCAGAGACCAGTTGCAATATGGCTTATGTCAAGCAGGAAATAAAATCTTGATAGAATTCACTAGGTCCTTGTCATACTTTGATCAAACCACCTGTCCCTCGATCCTGACCAGGAAGCCCTTTCCAGCATCTTTAGCATGTAATGTTAATCTGCTGATAGCCCTGTGGTGTATATCCAGTTTGTACACCAGTGTCGGCATGCTTCCCTATTCCAGTCAACATTTCAAACTTGATAGGTATTCTAGGTTGTTGATTCCTATTCACCTGCTCTTGGCGAATCAGACCAATCCAACTTCCATAAAAGATCATCTCCTCCCAACTAGCATGCCTTACCTATCACTTGTCAATCATTAGGGAGTAAATGCAGATTGAGTAGCTGTCTCTAATACCACAATTGTTTATGGTGCCATAGAACCATGTTGTGTACAAGCCATTTTTAATTCTTTCAGAGTTTTAAAGGATATCGGCTCATAGTGACACCGATTTTGTCCTGGAATGTCAGGATCCGGAGTTTCTATAACTGGGCATAATTTAAATCCCAAAATGTCCTCTCCTCTATCTGCTGTGCAATGCAAAGCTCTCTGGAAGGGGGCTAAAGTGGGAGTTGTTCTTTCTGTCCTAGCACCATTTGATATGCACGTAGGTTTTGACTGAGAAGCAGCAGGCAGGAGCACTAGGCCACAGGTCAGTGACTCCTCCTGTCCTGCAGCTGCTTCAGAATCTGCAGTCTTAAGTCTAACTTCACAAGACTGTCATTTTCATTATCAAGTCCCACTTCCCTAGCCTTGTCTTTAGTTACAGACTCATTTCTTAGGTAGGAGGGAGCTATACCTCAGCCTCAGGTTTATTATTTTATAGGAAAGAAAATGGGGAAAGAGGAAATGGAATGCAAAGCCAGTTGTTTTCAGATGTTAATTGGTTGATGACAGGAAATGACTGGCGCCATGTGGTTTCTTCTGATCTTTTGGGGCGAAATCACACATGTGACTTCCTTAGACAGATACTGCCTTGCAGTATCAGCAGCTAGTGTATTTGCATGCAAATGCTTTCATCACTATGTAAATAAAGCTCACAGAACCCCATTTCTGCATATGTCTGAGGTCCCCATGCTTGTTCAGAATGGCCACTCTCCACATAGCTCCTTTACTACTTCTATTAGGATGTCCATTACCTTCTGAACATCACTTGCACTCATCCTTCCTTTCTCTTTCTTGCTTGAACCACCTGCCTTCCAACTATCTTCCCTGCTTCCATTCTTGCTCAACTGCAATCCATTTTCCACATAGCAAATACATTTTTTTTTTATTGTATTCAGTCACCCTTCTGCTTAAAAGCCATTCATATCTTCCTTGGATACTGAGAAAAAAGAAGTCTAGATTCCTGACCAGAGCTCTCCCAGAACCCTGCCTGAGCTGAATCTACTTCTTGTGGACCTAGTCTACTGTCCACTTCTCACCCTGGGGCCTGCCTATGTTCTTGCATTCATTTGAAAGAAAGAATACTCAAGTCTTCTACTGGCTCTTTGCATGGCTAGGTCTTTATTATCCTTCAGTTCTCAGCCTAAATGTGACTTTCTCAGAGTCCATCTGTGACTATCACATGCTGGAAGAACTTTTCCCTTTCTCCTCTTTAATTCTCTTTCACAGTGATCTTTAAAAAGTGGCCTTAGGCCAGCAAGTGGCACAGTGGTTAAGGTACTGGACTCCTACTTGGCTTATTGTGGTTCGAGTCCTAGCCCTGACAGCTTGAAGTTTATGCTGGGCACGTGTGCATGCATGTCCAAAATCCCAAGAGGAGAAGGGAGAAGAAAGATTGTGATCTGGCCATACTCTTGGGAGATGATTTCTTACTTTCTCTCTCTCCATTCCTCTCTGTCTGCACACATGTGTTCTAGAGCAAAAAAACTCTCTTTCTCTCTCTCTCTCAAAAAAAAGTAGCCTTGTTCTTATATTCAGTAGTTATCTCCCTCACTAGACTAGAGTGTCTACAGGTCCCCTCTGATCTTGTACTGACATTTGACACTACTGTATCTCCAGCCTTATGCCTGACACAGAGTAAATTCTCAATAATCTGTTCAGTGAGTGAATAAATCTATACAAAAACACTTAAAAATGCTAACCTAATTAAAGTAATTCTTGGCACATAATGGTCACATCACTTCTTTTCCTTCTCTCTATATGGCATCTGAGCATATGAAATTAGCATGCACATTTGCTTGTATGTGTTCATATATGTATGCTGTGTGTTAGGAGGTGAAAAACAACTTTATTCTTGTTTACGCTTTCCTTTCTTTCTTGGTCCACTTTCTTTTCTTCTTTTTATTTTCTACAGTTTTCTCTTGATAAAAATATTTATTTTTCCATATTTACTTTAAAATCTGTAACATATTCCCATTTGGATTAAGTCATGTTAATTTCTTTTCAGTATCCAATAGCTGTATTAGGAAGTTGTTGCTATGCTGAGTTTCTTTTAGACTTTAGACATTTCATTCATTTACTCATTCGTTCATTTTTTATTTTTTAAAAAAGATCTACTATGTGACAGACACTGTTTTAAGTGCTGCAAATAGAGATGAATAAAATAAAATCCTTGTCCTTAAGTAGTTTACAGTGGGGATGTAATGAGATAGCTGTGAATGGAGCTCAGAGAGACATACTTGGAGAGAGGCAGGGTTGACGTGTAGAGTGGCCCTCCATAAGTGGGCATCTGTTAGAGGAGGAGGTGGGATGACCTTTGAGTGTCTGATTGGTTGGGATTTGTGGGATTGAGAGGAGGAATCCTGATAGCCCTTTGTTTCTTAGTTTGCTTTACTCACTTTAAGGGTTCCAGTGTTTTACCTTCCACTGTTCTCCATCTAAAGGAGAGGAAGAAGCTGGTGTAAGTGTAGACAGCAGTAGCACTCTTTAGCCTTGGCTGTGAGAAACAAGCCTGGGAGACAAGTTCAGAGAAGTCAGGAAACCTCAACCTGTGATGTCTCATGGACAAGGTGATTGACAGCCTTGGTCTTCATTTTGAGGTCGTTCTTCCACCCCCATTTTTTTTTTCAATTTAGATAGACCTAAGGAAAGAGTAGGTAGATGGCATGTTGGTAAAGGTGCTGGACTCCTAGATGGCCAACCGTGGTTCAAGTCCCAGACCTGGCAGTTTGCTTTCTCACTTTCTCCCTCTCTCTCTCTGTCTTTCTCTGGTGAGTGCATGTGCCCTATAGCAAAATGAAAAAATAATAATAATAAATTAAATAATTCTAAAAAAAAAAAGAGTATGTTTTATTATGGTTTGTCTACCATGATGAGAGTCCTTGAAACTAATAGTGGCCTAGCTCTGTTGAAAACTCAGGAAATCATGCCAAATAAGTGGTGGAAGTCGGAGGCAGGAAGACATGAAATTCCTGGTGTGATTGTGGAAGACCTTTTCTTCAGTGGGAAAACCTTTCCGTTAGGTTTAGGAAGCCCTGGAAAATCAAGTCAAATGCAGCTCCACAGTGCAAAGTAGTGAGAATAGATAGTATATTGTAGAGAAATGGATATTTCATATAGAGAGGTAGCCTGGGAGGGAGTTGGTGTGATTAGAGCAGGTGAATTAGTGACTCAGGAATGGGGAGGTGCAGGGGTGCTGGCATAGCACTTGCAGTGAGACATGGGTTCTTGCCCCACGCTCAGGAGGAATTAGAGACATGGACACAGAGTAGGTATAGCAAAGCAGGGAGTTTATTGAAGGAGAGGGAAGGCAGACAGAGCTCCGAAGAAGGGAGGTGTCCCGGAAAAAGAGTTGCCGAGGAGCAACTAGGGCGAGGGGTTCTCTGGGTCAGAGGGGCTTTGTTCCGGCTTGTTCCAGGTGGGGCTTGCACATATGTTCTCCTGTGGTGGGGAGGGCACATGCTGGATGAGTCTAGTTATTCTCCTAGTTTTAGAGTAGGTGTGAAGGTTAGGAGATTCTTTGTCTAGAGGCTTTGGGCATAAACACCACTATCTTTCCTCCTCCTGGAAGGTGGTAGGATCTGGGAAAAACCTTTGTTTTAGGTCTAGGTCCTGCTGCCCAGGTCAGTCACTGAGCCACTGCTGCAAGAGGTCTTTGTCTCCATCTTAAAACTTAGACATTTTGTGATTCCATTTTGGGCCTTTACCTGGACTATATTTTTAGGGTCCCTGTCTCCTACTTCATTAGGAGGCTTAGAAGGAGGAATTAGGGACCAGCAGATGGCATAATGGTTGCATCGCTGGATTCCCACATAGTCGACTACAGTTGGAGTCCCGGACCCAGCAGGTTAAACTCATGTTGGGCACATGTGTGTGCGTGCCCAAGATCCCAAGAGAAGAATGGAGGAGAAGAGATTGTGGCATGGCCACCCCCTCAGGGGGGTGTTTTTGCTTTCTGTCTCTCCATCTATTTCCGTCTCTCTGGTGAGAACACGTGCTGTATAGCAAAAATCTTTCTTAAAAAGAAAGAATTAAACATGTTTCATTGTCATTCATAGTCCAATAATAATAATTATTGCATCATCTTTTAGGGGTACTGGTTCCGTCATTTTTTTCTAAGTGAGCGACGAATACCAGCATGCTTTTGTACATGAGTGCATCATATTTGCGATATGATCTGATTAAATGCAGCTGTCTGATAATTTAATCTTGTTTATGTTGAATTTGTATCGTGTGCCAAACATTCCTAAGAGAAACTATGCCTTGTTTTAGAAAGTCTGCCAATTTTGAAAAATCTGTCTTTAGTTACTGATTTCTCTTACAGTCTGGCTGAAACCGAAAAGACTCTTGAAGAAACCAAGAAAAGATCGGTCATATCCCTTTTGGCTGCAGAGGAGGAAATAAATCAGCTAAGAAAGCAGTAAGAAAAAAATATGACAGGATTATTGCAGCCTGCTGGTTAATTGTTGCGTGTAGCTTTTTCAGTGTCCCATTACGATCTAAAACAATCTGCTAAAAATCAAAGAGAACAGGCAGCAGTATTTTTTTTATTAATGTTTTATGTATTTTCTGTACTATAAAAATATTGTCTATCTACTATAGAAAATTTCCAAAGTACAGCATAATATAAAGGAACAGAAAAACCCTGGCTTGATACCCAAGGTAGTTACTGTTACCATTTGGGGTTCTTTCTAACTAATGATACTTTAACAGGAGAGTTGACTCTGCAGAATGAAGTAGAAAAGTCTGCCATTGGGGAACCTTTATACCTGATGGTTGTTTTCTTCTACTGCTATGAAAACATTCTTGCAAAAATTACTTTTAAACAAGTTCAGAATGTCCTATCATATGGATATTTTCCTAACTGAAAATTTTCCTATTAAATATTTACTTGGATACTATGTGATTTTGATGTGGAAATAACGTTGAGATAATTTTTGTGGAAACGTAGCTTAAATGAAAAATTACTTCCTCGGGACCAGCAGTTAGCACAATGGCTATGTCGCTGAACTCCCATGTAGTTGACCGCGGTTCAAGTCCCGGACCTGGTGGCTTAAAACTCACGCCAGGCGCATGTGCGTGCGTGCCCAAGATCCCGAGAGGAGAATGGAGGAGAAGGGATTGCAGCGTGACCATCCCCCCTGGGGGGTGATTTCTCGCTTTCCATCTCTCTCTCTCTCTTTCTGGCGAGCGCACGTGCTCTATAGCAAAAACCCTAAAAAAAAAAAAAAAGAAAGAAAAAAAAAGACTTCCTAAAGGCATGTTTCTAGAAGGGGAAAATAAACACTGATCCTTTAGGGCTATACCTTCATTAATCTTAATTTTGACTTTTCCCCCATGAAAGAGTAAGTGGGAGGTATATCTAATGTGCACATACCCACACATTCTTCATCTCCCATGTGTTCCAATTGTTCTGATTTCTTCTAGAACATACATCTTAGCTTGGAATGCTCTTTTGCTTTTCACTCTGTCTTCCCCCCTTAAAATCATTTCAATGCCTTATTTCCCGTTTGGTACACTGCCTGAAATTCGTCGAGCATCCACCGTACTCACTGCTTTTCCATAGCACTGATTGGGTTCTTCCCCGTTTCCGGTGCACCTTTAATTCTGTTACACTTCTAGCGTCCTTACCTCCATCGCAGTCTGACCTCTTCCCTTTCACCTCATCTATGTCCATTCCCATAGCCCCACGCTCTCTCCTCCTGACTTTTCCTTCTGTTTTACGGTGACCACGCCTCTGTGTCTTAGAGGAAGCCCGTCTTATTTCCAAAGGTGCTACATTGTACTCCCAGGCCACACTTCCAGCTCGCCGTTTCCCCAGAGTCCACCTGTTCAGAGAATTAGGGAGCTAGTGATGGGAGGAGACATGGCTTAGACAGACTTCGGGACTAGGTTTTTTGGAGAGGTTTTTGCCATAGGGCGCCTGCGTTCGCCAGGTAGACAAGAGAGAGACAGAGAGACAGAAAGCAAGAAATCACCACCCAGGAGGGATGGTCACGCCGCAATTCCTTCTCCTCCATTCTCTTCTCGGGATCTTGGGCACGCACGCACACGAGCCCGGCGTGAGATTTAAGCCACTGGGTCCGAGACGCGAACCGCGGTCAACTTCGTGGGAGTCCAGCGACATAGCCATTACGCTAACTGCTGGTTCCGGGACTAGTTTTTGATGGTCAGCTGTGTTCCCTTTGCACAGTTAAGATCCGGGCCACGTGGGACGGTGTGGCTGTAGGTGCACTCTATTTCCTAGAGATTCTGCATGGGCCTGGTTTCCCGTGGAGCTGCAGCCCCAGCGGCACCCTGACGCCAGCTCTGCTCTTTGCTCCTCCTTGTTCCTGCGTATTCCCATAGGTTCCCATTGCGGCCCTGGCATGCTGGCTAGGGCGGCCTCTGCTGCTGGGCCTGCCCACTGTCGCTCATGACCTGTCCTTCCTTCCTACCTCCTCCCCTCTCCTCCTCTCTCCTCACCTCCCTTCTCGCCCCTCCCCTTCTCCTCCCGCCTCCCTCTCTGCTGTTCAGGCTTAAATCTCTTCAAGCCCAGGAGGACGCCCGCCACAGGAGCACAGACTCTAGGAGCTCGGCTGAGGCCAAGCGCTCAGAGCCCCGGACCTCGGAGCAGCGGAGATCGGAGCAGCGAGGGGCGATCAAGCGCAACCTGGAGCGGAACACCGAAGTGGCGTCGGACTATGAGAAGCAGCTCCAGACCCTGAAGGACGAGATCGCCGCTCTGTCTGCAGAAAAGTCCGCGCTCCAAGGAAGGTCTGAGAAACTCACAGATCTTTTCGTGGATCCTCTTTGTGCTGCCTTAGTGGATGTGGAGGGGGCAGGGAGAGGAAAAGTCACCCTGAACCTAAACCCCAGCAGTAGGGGAGTTCCAAATTGTCAAGGGATTGTCCTATTTATTTTTAAAGTTTTTTGGGACCAGCAGTTAGTATAATGGCCATGTAGCTGGACTTCCATGTAGGCGACTGTGGTTTGAGTCATGGACCCGGTGGCTTAAACTCACACCAGGCGCGTGTGCGTGCGTGCCCAAGATCCCGAGAGGAGAATGGAGGAGAAGGGATTGTGGCGTGGCCATCCCCTCTGGGGGGTGATTTCTCCCTTTCTATCTCTCTATTTCTCTCTATCTTTCTGGCAAGCGCACGTGCCCAATAAGAAAAAAACCCAAAAACCAAAAAACAAAAAACAAAACCTCTCCAAAAAAAAGAAAAAAAAGTTTTTGCCATAGGGCTACAGGACATGTGTGGTGGCAGGGGCTGGGGCGGAGAGTGAGAAATCACTGGGTAGGGGATGGCGGAGCTGCAATCCCTTCTCCACACCTCTCGGAATTTTCATTCATGTACCGCTGTTTTTCTTTCTTTCTTTTTTCTTTTTTTGGAGAGGTTTTTTGCTATAGGGCGCGTGCGCTCGCCAGACAGAGAGAGACAGAGAGACAGAAAGCAAGAAATCACACCCCCAGGGGGGATGGCCATGCCACAATCCCTTCTCCTCCATTCTCCTCTCGGGATCTTGGGCACGCACACACACACACCTGGCATGAGTTTAAGCCACCGGGTCCGGGACTCAAACCGCGGTCGACTATGTGGGAGTCCAGCGACATAGCCATTATGCTAACTGCTGATCCCGTGTACCACTGTTTTTCAAGCCAAGGGGTCTGGCCTCCAACATGAAGTTAGCCATATGAGATCCAGCCCTGGTGGCCACCAAGCCACCAGCTGGCCCCCAAGCATGATCTTACGTAATTCATGCGCACAGAGAGAGGAACACCTCCTGGATTGGCAGTGCTTGTGCGCGAATTAATTGGGAGTTCAGAAACACGCAGGAGGAAGGTCCTTTCTCTGGCTGGAAACAAAGCTGGTGTGGACTTTTAATAGGGAGGTGGTGCCCATGTTGAAAGAACATTCCATCATTTGAGGCTCTTTCTCCCCAAGACGGAGGGGTCCTCTCTGTAGGGACGACTTTTACTGCAGGCATTTCTTACCTTGTAGCTCCCTTGGCTGGGTGACATGCGTGGGCTCCGTGCTGTCTGAAATCCCTCTCTCCTGATGCACAGAGGTCAAGACAGGCTATCAAGACGGTGTTACCTGAGGGTGAAGTAGGATATTTGTCCTTGGGTCTCAGCATTTCCCTTATTCTTTCCAACAGCCTCCAGCCCCTAATCAGCCCCTCTCCCCTCCCCTGTCTCCGTTCCCCTACATGTCAACTCAGTCTTCTATTTTGGGGAGTCACTCCGTCAGTTCTGCTCGTGCCAATGTGTGCTAGGTCCTAAGGTCTGTGCCTTTCTGCTACGGTGGGAGTATTCGCACCACTAGCATTGGCAGCCACCATAAAGAGGGCTGTCCTCCCCCTCTCTTATCAGGGATCAGCACAGCGGTCCACTCGGTTTTGCACCATCTCTTGCTCCCTTGTATCTTGCATAAAACTTCCCTTTGGGGAGGGCATTTCCTTTGGGCCAGCTAGTCTGGTAGTTTACTTGGTACTTGAGCCCTGTACTTCTCACTGACACGGCGCTTTACAACTTGCAGAGAATTTCGTTAGCTCATCTGACCTGTTCTGAACAGGGCGAACCTCCTGGAGGTGGACGCTAGGCCCTGGAAAGGACAAGTGATGGCAAAGTCCCGCTGATATGAGGTGAAGCTGGCAATGAGGACATAGGACTTCCTTCTTGTTCAACCAGCGTTCATTCCATTTTATACCCAAGGCTCACGTTATGTGTTAGTACGCCAGGGTCAGGGGGAAAAACCACCCAGATCTGGCTTCTCCACCATCTCTGGCTCCCGCTGTGTTACTCCAGGGCCTGTCCTATTATTAACTTCTCTGAGCATCCAGTTCCTCATCGGGAAAAATACCCAGCAATCAAACCTGGCCTGGTAAGGTTGTATAAGGATAAGCAGAGCGGGGCCAGTAGATGGTGTAGTGGTTTCATTGCTGGACTCCCACAGCTGATTCTGTGCCTTTCTGCTATGGTGGGAGTGTTTGCACTACCGGCATTGGCAGCCACTATAAGGAGGGCTGTCCTGCCACTCTCATCAGGGATCAGCACACCGTTACACTTGGTTTTACAGCATCTCTTGGCTCCTCATTTCTTGCATAAAACCTCCCTTTGGAGAGGGCTTTTCCTTTGGACTAACTGCAGTTGGAGTCCCAGACAGTGGCTTGAAAATGACCCTGCCTGCCTGTGCATGCCCAAGACCCCAGGAGGAGAATGAGGAGAAGGGATGGCAGTTTGGCCATCCATCCTGGAGCCTACTGCTGTTTGGCCATCCCTCCGGGAGGTGTGTGTGTGTTTCTCTCTGTCCCTCTCACTGTCACTTTCTCTGTTTCTCTCTCTCTCTCACTAACACATGTGCTCAATGGCAAAAACCTCTAAAGAAAAGGACAAGCAGAGGTATGGAATGAGAGAACTCCGTAGGTTCTGACTGGGTACGCAGGTACAGAGTATTGTTTCTTTTAATTTTAAAAGAATTATTATTATTATTTTTTTGAGAGATTTTCACTGTAGGGCGCGTGCGCTCGCCAGACAGACAGAGAGAGAGACATAAAGACAGAAAGCGAGAAATCACCCCCCAGGGGGGATGGTCACGCCGCAATCCCTTCTCCTCCATTCTCCTCTCGGGATCTTGGGCACGTACGCACACGCCCGGCGTGTGTTTTAAGCCACCGGGTCCGGGACACGAACCGCGGTCGACTACGTGGGAATCCAGCGACATAGCCATTACGCTAACTGCTGGTTTCCAAGAATTATTTTTATTTAACTTTTTATTATCATATCTATTTTTTTAACTTGAGAGACAGAGAGAGAGAGAGGGAAAGTGAGAAAGTGAGCCACCAGGTCTGGAACTTGAACCATGGTCCACATTGGGGAGCCTAGCGCCCTCAACCTCCCCACCATCTGCCGCCTGGAGTGTGGAGTATTGTTGCTTGCTTGTGACGGCATTCCAGACCTCTCAGGCTTGGTGGGGAGGTCACCCCAGGCAGCTCTCCTGCCGAGGGTCCCCATTTGGAGAGAAGAACCAGAGGCCAGGAACCACTGGGAGTGGCTCCAGGTGTTCCCCGGCTGATTCTTGCACCCCACATGTCCTCCAGGAGCAGGTCTCCCAGCCCTACCCCTGGCAGCCCCAGCCGCAGTCGCCGCGCCACGCGCAG